AATCCAATCCAAACCCTAATCCATTTCATTTCATTTCTTTCCCCTCTCTCACCTGGCGTCGCCATCGCCACCGCCATTTCCCCTCCCCCTCCCCTTCCCCTGGTGCGAATCGCAGCAACAACAGCGACACAGCTGCTGCGTCGCAGCGACACTGCTGGCAGCAGCGTCACAGATCTTGGGTTTTGGCAGATCTTGTTGTGATTTTGGCAGATCTTGGATTTTTGATTTGTTGTGATTTTGGGTTTTTCTTCATTCCCAGATCTCGTTGTTAGTGATTTGCACATTGTGATGGTTTTTTGAAAATGAAAATGGTGAGGTGGTGGTCGGGCTGGTGGTGGTTGTGGCATGGTATAGATAGAAATAGAGATGGTTGTCAAGGTGTTGGAGGCTGTGTGGTTGTCGCGGTGGTGGTTCAGCGATTTTTTGGTTGTGATTTTGCGGTGGTTTCTCGGTTGTGGTATGGTGGATCTGTGGACTGTATGTGTGGCTGTGGCGGCTAGATCTCTGTGTCGGGCGATGGAGGTCACAACGGCGTCGGGTGGATGGGACGAAGAGTTTCTGTGACCAACTATTTGGTCGATCTGTGACTAAGTAGTTGGTGGTATTTTGGGATTGGGGGACGGGGTATTTGGGTGTATGTGACCAACTATATCGATCTGTGACTAAGTTTTTGTGGTGTAGTGAGATTGGGGGACAGGTGTTTGGATGTATGTGACCAACTATATAGTTTTCTATGGTTAACTATTTAACTGTAACCTTAAAAATTGTTAATCTGTGACTCAAAATATAATCTGTAACCAACAAATTTGGAAATCTGTGACCAACAAATTTTCTTAATTTGTGACCAATTAAAATCTGTGACCTACTAATTTTTTCAATTGTGTGACCAATTAATTTGATAAGCTGTGATTGAAAATTAAATTTTTAACTACTTAATAAGATATTTGTGACATTGGAATTGGAACAGTTACCGGACTTAAGCGGCTGCCAATGATCACCGAAAAATAATCGTCGGAATTAAGCGCGATCGGAGAATAGTCACCGGTCGCCGGAGTAGTCGACGGAGCAGTGGAGGTGGAGGTGGAGGTGGAGGTGGGGTGGAGCAGGTCGGTGGGGTGGGTCAATTATATAAATATTATATTTCAGTTAAATATTTAATTTAATAGATTAATTGTAAAATATAATTAATTAATTCATGGGAAAACCTGAGTTTTGTAAATTTAAACCTTGGGGCCTGATTTTTAATTTCGTGAAAGATAATCCCTGACCTATGAATTTTTTCCTTATATATAAATTCAGCCTAATAAACAAACTACAAGCAGACCAAATTATTAACATCAAAACCCAATTAATTCACTCATTTAGAAAACAACGCATTTCTCAAAACCAGTCGTCTTCTTTCTCTAGCGGGTTGAAATCAACCCGGTTGAGACCCACCTCAAATTTAACTTTCCTCCATCAAAACTCAAGTTTAATACTACAAAAAGGCTTGAAAAACGATTTTATGAAGAAATTTGAATTTATTTTCACAAAAAAAAAAAAATTCTACCAGAGAGGACAGATTCTACAAATTGATGTAAAACACCAAGGCAGAGGTAATATAATGGCTCTAATACCAAATGTTAAAGACAAAAATCAATCCAGAGTAATTATGCGAAAATGAATTGGATCGAAAAATCGAAATACCATAGGGATCGGTTCATACCTCCGGCCATTGACGATGTTGCAAAAGCTCTCCTTTTTCTACGGGTAATGGAACTTCCAAACTCTCAATAGATGGTGTATCTTGTATTTTCGATGGTTGAGCTTGGGGACCAAAACCTCTATATATATAGCCCAAACTCTTATCAAGTTATGGCTTTAATTACCAATCAATTGATGGTGAAATTGAATTCCATAAATGTTGAAACTACCCATGAATGTTGGACCATCAATATGATCGTTGAAGAAATGTGAAGAGACTTCAACGGAAATGTGAAGAGACTTACATTTTGGTTATGTTACCAACTTATTAAGGGCTTTATCATGCTTTTGACAGGTGAAATGAGCAATGAATTTACATGAATCAAAGGCGACACTGGCCTCGCAGGGTGATGGTGATCGTTGGGAATGGGGCTAAATGGGATTTAAAATTGGACAATTGTGCCTTTCCGTGAATTGAGGAAGCCGAATTCTATGGTATAAGCTATAGCTCAAGCTCGTCAACTATCAAAGTTCGCCTCCCCATCTCTCACGTGGATATAATTTGACCACTGATCGAAGCATATGTATTGGAGCTTTCAACAATCTCTATCTTTTATCAACGAGCTGTGATTGATAGAACAAATTCTATTCGAGATCAAAACAAACACAAATGCTGCCTTCACGTGGGAAAAAGACACTCTTGATTAGATTTGTGCTTGATTGCATATTTTTTGCCGTTTTATTACAATTTCAACTTTGAGTCTTTATTTATATTGTCGCAGTCAATCCCATCACATCATTTGTCAAAGTCAATTGACTGTGATCAAAACCCCGATGTCTCTAAAATTCTCACATCTAAATACAAGAAAATTCCATATAATTCTCAATGCCTTCACAACTATAAGATCATTTAGCCCCTGTTAGGTTAAACTAAGTATGAATTAAAATTTAGGTTAAAGTTAATAATTAAATGTTACCACACATTTCATGAGGTTCATAACTTTTCACCCACATATTCCATCAGCTTTATCAATATCTACCGAAAATTTAATTTTTATCTGAACTAAGAAAGGATTAATTATTTTACCTTTTGAACTTCAATTCCGTCCTTATTTCTCACCAACCAAAATTTCCAGCCGACAATGAACAACCTTATTTAGAGACAGTAAACAATCATAGTAACAACTTTTTGAATAAATTGAGAATTTTGAATTGTCTACGCTTGACCTAGAACAGAATTTTTGAATCGTTATTAGAACAGTCCCACACGGTTGAACCCACACTCACCCAACAAAAAGGAAAAACAAATGACCCACATTAATTTCACCTTCATATTTAATAGTATTTGTACAGTTTTTTTTTTTTTAATAACCGTGGATGTCCGGGCCAGTTTGCGCGCATCTCGACTAATTCCACGGGACCCTAAAGTTTACGGTCGGCGTCGGGTACTCACCTCAATGGCCCTGAGGGGACTCGAACTGGTGATCATTGGGGAGCAAACCCAAGGTTTGGCCAATTGAGCAACCCCTCAGGGTTTAGTATTTATACGGTATAACGAATAAAATTTTGACTTCTTCGAATCAATTATATTCAGGGAACGTGTCATAAATGAATCTTATAAATTCATTAATTTTTACCGATATCTTATAAAAAAAACTAAAAATAAAATTGATTATTAATCTCTATCAAAATTATAATTGAGGGAACCAACATGGCAACGACAACTTTTGTTTCTATGGAAACTTTTCTGTCTCGAAACAAACAAAACAACTCCCTTTAGACCAAAAAAAAAAAAATTAAATTAAATTAGTAACAAAATGACATTTTTTGTAAACCACTAACTGTGAACACATAAGTGGATTTAGCCCTAGTTGGTTGAAATTTTTTAGAATAGATTACGTGAAAAATGATTTTTTTTTCTTTTTTCTTTTTTGTAAAATGCATGATTAAAAATAAGGAAAAAATTATTGGGTCCACATGTAAAATTATTTTATTTGGAGAATCTATTGTTAAAAATGAGTGTCAGAGCTTAATATCCTTTGTATCGATAACAAAAATATTTTATTCTTACAAAAAATGAGTTAAAAACAAGCACAGGCCGGACAAGGGAAAATCTGCTTGTAAAACGCTAACATTCTCCATATTTACAAAAAATGTGTTGTTACCAGTTTCTGAATACTTCATATTTACTTCATAATATACATTCAATATTATGTTTTGTTCTTACTTCTTAGATATGTTAGTTTGTCAATTTTGGGATTTTGGTGTTTGAATGTAACTGGAGACCGGAAACGGCAACAAAATGGTTGATTAGGTTAGTAGCAAACAAAGATAGGACAAATATTGTTTGTTACGGTATGCTAAACATTCTCTAAATATTTGATACATCAAAGAGTAAGAAATATAGCGAAGGGCTGTGCAAGGTGTACACCATGGACGACAGCCCTCTCACAAAGGAGGTGTGACTTGCAATTTTAAAAATCGCGGGCCCCACCCCCTTTGTGAAAGGAGTGTCAAGCTGAATGGTGCACACTCAGCATTTTTCTTATTACTCTTGTTCTCAGTAAAACACAATAATCGGAACAAAATGAATTCGAAAACATAAAAAAGGAAGGTTTTGACTAGGTACCTGTTAGAGAACTCCATTATTTCAACAATGTCAAGTTCAAACATTGGATGGTAGGTTATCATTATGTCATTTCCATCATTTTGTTATGTGGGATGCTTATGAATCCCTCATCAAGCGACAAACAGAAATGATGCAATAGAAAGCCGTGTGAAATATAAGGGTAGATGCTCTTCCAAAGCAAACAATACGTATAATATAACATTTTGGGTACCTAGGTCAAATTGTTACACAAACCATCACATAAAGCAGCAAACTCAAATAAATTTGAAGCAAGCTATTAACAAGGAAATGAAAGCATTGGGAATTGTTGACTCAAACTTAGGAAAAATAATGCACTGTATGTACAGGTCTATGTAGCATTGTAATTGAGTTTCAGAAAGGCTTTAGAGCAATGCTACATGAACTGGAAAAATGCAAGTATACGTTTACAGAATGCCACATGGCAACATTTCATTAGATTTTGAACAAAAAACATAGTTAAAACGACCAATCAGGTGATGCCGTCTCAAGTATCATTTTTCAAGGTTTTAATGCATGAAAACAGTAAACCAACACTTTTCTACACATTTAGTTACAGATATCATTGCGTGACAACTTCCCTACAGACAACTGAAACCTAAGAATGCGATGGGATATGCAAACCCCTCTAATTTCTGAGGAGTCTGATGCAAGTGCAGAAGGCAGACCCTCAAAGCTTAATAGCTGAAATGGACAACTCAGAGTCGATTGACGGGTGTGAGCAACCTTGCAGTGCCGTACTCTCTGAGACAATAGCCAAAGATTTGAGATTGCAGTTTATTACAGCATTCACAAAGTAGCATGTCTCGTCTTGAGTATTCCCTTCAGGCACATCTACCACAAATGATTCGATAACCAGCGCTCCTAGTATCCCATCAATTATCTCGGGATGGACAGTAACGATTGAAGAGTAATTCTGATCATCAAAATAAAAGAAAACAAATTTGGTTAAGTGACTTGAACAGCAAGAGAGGTTCAAGAATGCCAAATTCAGAGAAAGCAAAAGGAGAACAGTAAATATATGCTGTGGTTCCACAAACCATCAAGTTTAGGAGCTCCAACTGGGACAAAGGAGAGGATGCTCTTACATACACAGAAATCTTACATAAAGAACTAGAATTTACAAAAATATTGATCTCAAAATAAACCCGACGGTTCAAAAGGTTAGTGTCACGACTATAGTCAGGAAATTTAAAGCCATGAGAATTTGACACTGCTGATGAGGAAATCCGAGTTTACAAAATGGCAACCGGCGTGTATTTATATAGAAAAAGTTTATACAGACATGGTTTTCTCCTTTTCCAAATTCCCCATTTGTCATTCCATTTTTTAGCAAGGGACTCCTCTTACTATTTTTGAGGGGGAAAATCATAATTGGCCTATATAGTTGCATATTTTGTTAACACCAAGGATAAACTGTATGCATTTTTTTTTTGGAAACATTGCACTATTGATCCCCAACGTTTTCCATTAATTAGAAAGTTGTCCCCTAACATTTCGTTATAGTTGCAATCAGTCCTTAATGACAGAAGCTGTCCAAATTTGTGTTGAATCCCATGACCCTCTGGACACAATTCCGTATTAAATATCAAACCTAGTTTCATAAATTTGGACACGTGATGGACACATGACGATTACAGAGATTTGAATTGTCTCTATCCTTACACGCTGCGTAACAATAGTAAAAGGTAGGGGACCAACTTGCACCTTTCGAAGGTCAGAGACTAACCAACTTGCTTATGAGACAATAAGTGAGAAACTAATGGAGAACTTTTCCAATATTTAGTTTTGCTGATCAACCCAAATACATTGAACTTGGCTACTACTTGTAACGGCCACAAATCGCTGCTTTAACAGAGTAAATATTACCTCAAGGAAGAAAAGAACAGTATATATGAAACAATAGAGGAAAGCCCTTACCTTTAGCCTGTGATCACCACCAACAATCTTGAAGCCAAGAATGTGCTCCTGATCATCAAGCAGTTCCAGAATCTCAGTGCTGGTCGTGGCAGGAAGTCCCGACTTCACATTCACCTCTCTAACACTCCCAATCTCAAAATCACCCCGCACAATGCACCTGCTAACAAAGGGCTTATACTTCTGAGGTTGATCAAATCTCCTCACTGCTGACCAAACCTTAAAGAACATACAAATATAAGTCTTTGGATATCACAGCTTAAACAAAAGCCACAAAATTTCAAATAAATAATACAAATGTAAGCTCTTTGAAGCACATAAAGATTTCATTCCAAGTTTTGTGTTTCCCAAATCAAGATACATATACAAGTTGACACTCAAAAAATGAGTAGAAGTTACAGAAGCAAATGACTTCACAAGCTTTTGAGCTTCTATTATACATAGGCTCACAAAAGGAGGGCACAGCTACATCTAGCAGATATCCTCTTATACGAAGGAACGGAAAAGCTTGATGAACCATTCTTTTTATACTTCAAGTGCATAGTTCTCAATGCGTTGAAAGTCTTCGTTAATTTACCATCATTCGATCTCTCCCTCAAATATCAACTATAAAAATCACATTTCCTAATTTCCTCGAATATATATAGGCATTTGGCAATCAAACAAAAAGCAAGCAAAAACTATATAAAATGTGAAAACAAATGTATCGATTTCTAATATCAGAGCCCTTCATGCCTAATAATTGAAAAATTTAGTAAATACAAAATAATTTTTAGAAACAATTATGCCATTGTTTGCGGCCCATTTTCTAATAATACATTTTTTTCGAACACGTTTTCAACCAGGAAGTCGAGTGATGTAGGACGGTCGTTGACCGTTTACGGATTATGGTTGCAACAGCAAAATTATTTATTAATATTTAATTAAATAATATTAAAAAAATACATAAGAATATATAATAATTACTAATTAGACTCATTTACGGGATAAATAATAAGAGATAGGGAATATAGATTCTTTTGCATCTCGATTCAAAATACATTCATCGTTGAAAATTCAACAATCCAAAATAACAAGAAAAAAATACATTTTTTGAATCATATACGTATGATCAAGTTTCAAGTTTTTACGAACTTAAGCGAAACAAAATGAAACTCATACGTAAAATATGATTAAATGGTAAATACAAGCTCCGAACTTAGGCGAAGCTTATGCAAAGTTCTTAAAACAATGATTTTTGAACTTATTTTTTTTTTTAGAAATTATTTTTCAAACTCCTAAAAGAATAAAGAGCATTATTTAAATTGTCTAAATTTAAATTTTACAAAATAAATTAATAAAACCTAACAATAAAAGTATATATTATGCATAGTTATCATACATGATCCGGCCGTTAATTGAAAAAATCATCAAATTAGTGGTTCGATCGTTGGGTCATCGAATTTTAGTTAAAAAAAATAATTTTTATAACAAAGACTCTATTAGTTTGATATACCAATATTTCTTGTTTAATTTACTAATCTACAATTGTTATAGTGGTCAAGCTTTCAATCATCACATATTGAGTATAGTTCGAATATTTCTATTGCAAATGTATTATAAAACTTTTCTTTCGGCCAATTTGATAGCTAAAAAAAGTTTAAAACAAGGAGAGGAGGTTCCTAGAATCGAACCTGTACCTATCACATAGAAAGCTGGTGCTCTACCATATGAGCTACACAACCTTATGTTGAAATTTGATACATTTATAAATATTTAACGTGAATTATCAAAACTTTATCACTCTTTTTTCCCCATGAATCCAACACGGGCGGCCGTACCGGCTCACGGCGGGTTGGATCCGCCCTTGTTTTCAACCACATATTGTCTTGATAAAATAATATCATACGAAAACCTAAAACTTTTTCTTACTTTTCAACGTGACATCCTCCAAAAATTCGCTATTCCAAATTTATTTTTACCAACTAGTGGGGCTCAAACAAGGGCTATAAAGAGCCGGCACAAATCATATCTAATTTCTCTCCATATTTCATAATCAAATAATGCATAAAATTCAAAAAGATACCAGAAATGCCAGAATGCAGGAGGAAAGGCAAAAGCCCATATGAAATCCATAAATAAAAAACTGCAAATAAATAAAAAATCCCCAAAAAACATAAAACCTATATATATACACTAAATTGGCAGAAAAGAGATAGAGAGAGAGAGATTACAATATCAACAGGGGCTTTGATGTGCTTGACAACAGAGGAAGAACACTGATGCTCCGTTGGCTGGTGCCTATGGTGTCTAATTATGTACTGTGCTTCCATATTTTTCTTCTTCAAAGGTTAGTGATACTCCGTTGGCTGGTGCCTAATTATGTACTGTGCCTATGGTGTCCCAAGTCAGGAAGAACACTGATGCTCCTATGTATTGCTCCTAAACTTTCAAAACCAAGTAAGAAAAACAATTCTTACCGACGAAAAAGAAAAATCTTGAGAATGAAAGTGATTGTTCACTACGTGAATTCTGTGTATGTGGTATTACAGTCCACAGGTTTGACTTCGACGCCCATCAAGAAATATATAAAGATGTGGACAGGATATTTAGGCAACTGAGGTTAAGAACGAGCGTAGATGGCGTTAACGTGTCATTAAATAATCGACGAAACTTTTCAATGATTTGAGCGTCACCTAAATCGAAATTGTAATCCTTAAATAGCATACTCCAATTGAAAGCCTCCAACCTATTGAAAGTGTATCAAGTAGATCCTCAATCTATTAATTTGTTAGTTAAATTCTCCAACTATTGTTTTGTAGCATTGGAGTCCCAGTGGAAATTTTACCTTTATCTTCGATTAAAAATTCAAAATTTTCACTAAGACAATGATTTTAAAATTATTTTTAAAAAAAAATAAAAGCTATTAATTAGAAGCTAGGGTGACTGTGTGAGGTTCGATGGATTTTTTTATTTTCTTTTTCAGATCAATTTTGAAAAAATCCGAACGTGAATTTTTAACTCAATAAATATGTTGAGATCATTCACTACATTTGATACATATACTTGAAACAAATTGATACAAAAATTAAGGAAACTGTTACTGTCACACAATAGATTCGTATATTCATAAAATTTATTCATTGCTCTTATCCAAATTTGAAAATTGAAGAAGCCTGAAATGCTATCGTAGTTATCAATTTCTTGTGGAGTTGTTGCATTACCTCTTTGATTTTGTAAATATAGAAATAAGTGCTTTATTAAGTGCATCAACTTTCCTCCCCTATCACGTTTTCACTTCTTTTTTTTTTTTTTTTTTTTCTATTCGTTTGAATTATTTAATTTGAATTAGTTAAAACATAAGGGCAAATTGGTTGACTGAGGACTCAAATATTGCAAAACTAAAAGATCAAGGACTTATGCCAAATATTAAGCCAGGACCCCAGATGTAATTTTCCTTTATTTATATTAGATTAGATGTCGGCAGACTTGGGACCTATGAGCCCGCAATTGGTTGCCTAAATAAGCTTATATATACTCTTATTGGGGCTAATCTCCTCTTACTACATTAATGATTAGGGTAAATTGCACACGGGGTCTCAAATTTTTGAAGGTTGTGACAATAGGATCTGAACTTTTGATTTCTACCATGTAGAGTCCCAATTCGCTTGCTAACTCCGATTTTCCCTTCGATTTGGAGCATTAGCTTGCTTGGAGACAATTTTCATTTTAGGGTTGATGGATGATTTGGGTTCAAGTGTGAAGAGGATGACTTGAGTTTAGAGTCCACATGTTGAGCTATCTTCTAATTTTCCCTTTTTATGTTTTTCCTTTGAATTCTTTTATATTTTCTCTTTATCACTTTTATGTAAGCATGAATAACTCCATTTTGATCAGTTTTATCCCCCACCATTCCCTCACGTGACCAACATATGGTGGCTCAATGTCGAAGTTGACGTTTTTCATTCAAATATACGTTGGACATAGACGTTTGAAGGTTTAGTACTTCACGTTGTATAATTCAAAGGTCGAGGACTCTTTCGTTGCAACCTTCAAAGATTCAATGAAATTTACAAATATCTCTTTTATTTTTGTGTTAATATTTAATTCAAAAATAGTGATGTCATGGTCATTCCGACTTATTTAAGGTTTTTTTATTGGTTTTTTAAACCATTTTAAGGAATCTATAGTCAATGGATGGAGGAGATTGTAATAATCAATGGGATTGGCTTGTCATAAAATGCTCAATTTGATTTAATTACACGAAATTCAAATGGGAAATGAAATTTACAATTTTTTTTACAAATATAAGTGTGTTATATAATGTTGACGATTTCGAGAGAAAGAAATATGACATAACAATATTTTCTATTCAAAATTCAATTTTGAATCGACGGCAAGCAATTATTAATGTACGCACTTAATCGGGAAAGTAGAGATGGAAATGAGAATTTTTACTGTATATTTGGCAAGCAATACTAAACGGGTGTTTGGTGGGGATTAAAATTAGATGTTTAGTAGATTGTGATAGAAATTTTTGAAATGTGTAGTTGAAAAGTTGTGGGACCCATGAAAGATGTGGTTAATATTGATTGTTTGACTTTGACTTGGATTAAAATCATATTTTAATCCGTACCAAATACGGGGCTAAATTAGACGAAATAGTAAAATATATAAAACTTTAATTTCCTTTTCTTTTTAATATAGTTTAATTCGGATCAATCCAAGTTAGCATCCAAACATACAATTAGATAATTGAGACGCATGTGCAATATAACATCTTTTAAAAGGTACATCCTCCATGGGTTTCACGAGACAAAATTGCACATAATTGAGCCAGAGAATATTAGGGATGGCAACGGGGCGGGGGCGGG